CTAGATTTTTTTGTGTGTATGTTGTATTTCGAATTTTTCAAAATGAGTATAAATTACTAAAACTGTTAAAAGTCTCATATAAACTTTTAGGATTAAGGTTTTAATTTTTTTTCTATATTAAAATATAATGATTATAAAACCATATGAAGAAATAATTTTAGTTTATATATATATTTCATATCGTTTTAATTAAACTATATATCGTATGAAAATACATACTTATATTTTAATATTTGCCTTGAACATATATTGAAAATTTAATATTTTAATATTGCAATATGTCATTGTTTTACAATGATTATAAATTATCAAAACTACTAAACATCTCACATTAAAAAAAATTCGTTGGTGTAAAATTTTGTTACATAAATATGCAAATTATCATAAAATCTTATGAGTAAAAACCTCATTTAATAAATATCTATATTAAAAGTGTGATATATTACTATGTTTATATCATTTAAATTTAATTATATTTCATATACAATATATAAGATTGATTATTTTGATTTATTCACCCTAACTGCGAATAAAAAAATGATAGATAAATTTATATGCATACGTCAATTTATTATATAATAGTAACTGATTTATTAGTTATTTAATATATATATTTGTTATTTTATAATATGCAGAAAAATATAAAATAAAGAATAATTATAAAATACTTATTGTGTATAAAGTGCAGATCTTAATCTAAGTATGTATCTCTTTAATTATTTTAAATCTTAAGTATTTTCTAAATCCCAGGTCAAAACAAATAAACAAAATGAGAATAAACTTCAAATAAACATTTATATCGAGTAATAACCAAAATATAACAAAACACAACAAGAGAAAAAATTGAAGATAAATAGGATTGACATGTGAACGTAAATTTCTCATAACCATAATTAATTTTAAATTTTTAAATCATGATATAAAACTGAGTTAATTTTTATTTTTTTTTTTAAATTTTTAAATCATTATGGTTATGTTAAATCATGACGATAATTAATTTTAAATTGTTTATTTGTATTTGAAAACCTTAAAATATTGTTTTTAAAAATAATTTAAAATTTTACTTAATTTTGTATAAAATTATTTTTAAAAAATTATTTTTTTAAAAAATATAATTTTATAATATTATTAGACAAATAAATAAATTATATTAAATTAGTTTTGAAACTTTATATATTTTAAATGCAAGTATTTTACTAACTGCTTCTTACAAAAACATTAGGTTACTTGCTAATACTCTACCAATCAAGCCCAATGACACTTCATTTAAAAATAACCCCAATTCTACGTGGCATAGCTCTTTAGCTTCTATTTCAAATCCCAAGAATTCTAGAGCATGTGATATAATGTATAGTTTAAAATTCATATTCTCTAGCATTATAATATTTCGTAGGCTATAGTTGGTCGTATATATCAAATATTTATTGTTTCGCATGCTTTCCTTAAATAAAACCTACGGAATTACCTAATGTGATCAAAATATATATATGACAATTAATGATTTTAAACAATAAAGATTTGATAACAATCTGTATACCTTTTTCATTTTTTTATTTCTTTATTATTAAAAAAAATTACACAATTACATTAATCATATAATAAAGATCTAGATTTTTTTTTTTGTATGTTGTATTTTGAATTTTTCAAAATGATTATAAATTACTAAAACTGTTAAAGTCCCACATATACTTTTAAGATCAAGGTTTTAATTTTTTTTTCTATACTAAAATATAATGATTATAAGACCATATGAAGAAATAATTTTAGTTTATATATATTTAATATCATTTTAATTAAACTATACATCGTATGAAAATACATACTTATATTTTGATATTTGCCTTGAACATATATTGAAAAGTTAATATTTTAATTTTGAAATTTGTCATTGTTTTTTTAAAATGATTATAAATTATTGAAACTACTAAACATCTCACATTAGAAAAAAATCGTTGGTGTAAAGTTTTGTTACACAAATATGCAAATAATCATAAAATCATATGAGTAGAAACCTCATTTAATAAATATCCATATTAAAATTGTGTTATATTACTATGTTTATATCATTTAAATTTAATTATANTTAATTATTTTAAATCTTAAGTATTTTCTAAAATAAACGAAATGAGAATAAATTCAAAATAAATATTTATATCGAGTAATAACAAAAATATAAAAAAACATAGCAAGAGAAAAATGGAACATAAATAGGACTGACACGTGAACGTAAATTACTCATAACCATAATTAATTTTTAAATTGTTAAATCATGATATAAAACTGAGTTAATTTTTAATTTGTTAATTTTTTAATTTTTTAAATCATTATGGTTATGTCAAATCATGACCATAATTAATTTTAAATTGTTTATTTGTATTTGAAAAACTTAAAATATTGTTTTTAAAAATGATTTAAAATTTAAGAATTTTTTTATAAATTATTGAAAAAATAAGAATTTGTAAAAAATAGAATTTTCTAATATTATTAGACAGATAAATAAATTATATTAAATTATTTTTGAAACTTTATATATTTTAAATGCAAATATTTTACCAATTGCTTCTTAAAAAACATTAGGGAACTTGCTAATACTCTACCAATCAAGCCCAGTGACACTCCATTTATTTTCCATCACTCGAACACTGAAAAGTGAAAAGATACATGAAATCAGATCCATTAAATTCTAAGATTTGATCTACATTTCTAACTAAAATTGTTTATGATCCTACGTATAGATAATTATATAAAAATTTCAAAATTCTTAAATTTCAAATACATACAAAATCAATCATATGTAAATTTTAAATTTGTCAATACTAAAATTTTATATTTTAATTACATATATTCACCCTGCGCAAGGCGCAGGTCTTATCCTAGTTATTAGTATTCATAAACAAGAATTAGAGAAATCCACCAAGATAGTTTGATATGAACATTTGAAAATTTCGCTATAAACTAGACGGCATTATTTACCATAAAATGATTTTTGAGCAAGATTTGTAATTATTAAAAATAGAGGGAATGTCAGAGATAAAAAGAAAACCTAGGGATCTGCCTGTATTAAACAAGAATATACTGCAATATACACAAATCACGGGGACAATGTGTAAATTATAAACAATATAGGCAAAATTGATAGACATATGAAACTTAAGGGAGCATTAGTAATAACCATATGTTTCGAGGGGGGAGATATGCAATAAACTATAGCCATTTTAGTTTATTGAATAAACGTCAGATTCGACCGACGACGACGACGAAGTGTTTTCGATTCTCGGCGTGCGAATCTTCTCAATCTCCAAAAAACCCTAATCTCTGATTCGATCGAGCATAGGCAGTTGAGATAATGGCTAACAGTAATCTTCCACGAAGAATCATCAAGGTTACGATCTTCTCTTATCTCTTACCGAATTTTTGTTATCGCCGTTGGATGTTTGTTTTTTCTGATTCTTATTTGTTTTTGAATTGTGATCTGATAGGAAACGCAACGTCTTCTCAGTGAACCTGGTAAGCTCTTTGATTCGTGCCTGTTGTTGATTTTGAGCTGAGACAAATTGAGTTGTGGATCTTCAAAATGTGATCTTCTATGGAAGTTTGAATTTAAAATTGTGATTTCAATTGAATTGTTGCAGCTCCGGGTATAAGTGCGTCACCATCTGAGGATAACATGCGTTATTTCAACGTTATGGTTCTTGGTCCTTCACAATCACCTTATGAAGGTAGTATTAGTATACACATCTTCATCCTTGGGTGTATATAAGAGTTTTATACTTGGTGGTAGATATCTATGAAAGAGTTTTAAGTGTTTCCATAGTGCGTATGCTGCTTCGAATTTCTTGCTTTGAGATTACAGCATGTTGACTGCACCGATTGATAATGATCGTGTAGCTGGTTGGGTTTTGAAGAAACGCTGAATAATCAATGGGTGATATGGATAACTATGAGATTATTATTTTACAACCGTGATTTTGATTTAATTGTTACCACACATTTAATAGATGTTGAGTTAAACTTGTACTTGTTTTTCTTATTTAGACCAAGTCTGCTAATTTTCGGTAGTTTACTTTTTTTTTAAAGAGTGTTAGAATGCCAATCATTTGCTTCGTTCCATTGCGTAGGAGGAGTTTTCAAGTTGGAGCTCTTTTTGCCTGAGGAATACCCTATGTCAGCTCCCAAGGTAAGTTGTTTGAATTAGAGTTTGTATGTTTCTTTATCTTTTAGAAGTCATGTTATGAAGTTATAAGACTCTAGCTGCTTGCAGATTACTAGCCGGGCTAGCTATAAGACTCTAGTTGCTTCAATCATAGCAGGGCTAGTTATAAGACTCTTGTTATTAAGTAACTTGTGTGTTGGGATATTTGTAAATGCATCAAATGTTCTCTGGGAACGTTGCTTCTGGTTGGATTATTACAGACCCGAATGCTCTCGCATTTCTTGTTATTGTTTGCTCTTTTGTTAAAGGGTATACTCAGTCTATAGCATTCGATTCGAATGGAAATGGGTCGTCTACAGATCTGCATTTTTTATACTTCAATACTCGTGGGCTCTGTTTAATGATCAGTTAATTTGGAACAGGTTAGATTTCTCACCAAGATATACCATCCTAACATTGATAAGGTCCTGCTCTTAAGTCTTAACTCCTTCCTCTGTTTTCCATTCACAAATCAAAACACATGTTCCTAAACTTGTCTATTTGCACATACAGCTTGGTAGAATCTGTCTTGATATTCTGAAAGACAAATGGAGCCCTGCTCTACAAATACGAACAGTGCTCTTAAGGTAAGTATTAGTTGATTCTACTGCCACAAAATAAAAACATAGGTTTCTAGCGGCATGACTAGTTTCTTATTCTGTTTAATTTGTCGTCTTAAAAAAAGCATTCAAGCTCTTCTGAGTGCACCAAACCCTGATGATCCCTTGTCTGAGAACATCGCTAAGCATTGGAAGAGTAATGAAGCAGAAGCTGTTGAGACAGGTAATGTAGTTCTGAACTTAACTCGTCACTAAACTCCCTGTTTTGGTATCTCACATCATCCTTTTAACTATCTGCGCAGCTAAGGAGTGGACTCGTCTTTATGCAAGCGGCGCTTGATGATGCAGTGGAGGGTGAAAAGATCTCATTCGTCCAAATAACATTACATTTGGTTAAATCTTATCTCTTGCTTGTTCCTCCCACCTCATTATGCTCAAAAATGTGTTTCCGGCACACGAAGTTGTAATCTATCTAAATGATTGTATCCTTTCATAATAGGGTCAAGACTCGTTCATCCACATAACAATACATTTACCAGTTGCATAACAAACGTAATAAGACAAAAGACCATTGTATAAGGACGCGAGTTCGGTTGAAAAAAAAGAATAAAGCTTTACAATCACAAGCCATAACACAAATTAAGTCAGAGAAACGTAACCCACATCCATCATAATCATCACCCTAATGTAATAACACACTACCATAAAACCATCACCCAAAGGAATCATCATTAGTATAGAAGAGAGAGCGAAAAGCCACATTTCAGATTTCATGAAATATTTATGAAGCCGAAGTGAACCAGTGAGACCCAACCGTGGAAGAAGAAGAGACTTACTACTAACTGCACTAGACAGGGATTGCGTCTACATTGGATGAATCTTCACATCTCAACACAATGCCTTCAAGACTTGCAGGGAACGTCCACTTGCTCCATTGCCAACCAGCAGCTAATGGCTCAGTTGTTGGGACTATCATTAACACGCTTTCGTTTCTTTGTACCACTCCAATGACACTTACTGTGCTCCCTTCTTTGATATACCTGCAAATTAAAACAAGCACCAGAGAGACCCAAAACATTTAAGCCAGGTTCTTGAATCACTCTTATTCGAACAGAGTTGAGTCATTACCCTTCTTTAAGCCGCATAACTCGTTCATCATTAGACAGATTCTTCTGACCCAACCACCTTACGAAATCTGGAGACGCTTGCTCGTTTCCTGGCTTGAAATCGATGACAACAGAGTCATCGACAATAGGTGTTACCTTTGCACCGTTTCCGGTTTTGACTAATGCTCTAAGCCCAGACTGGAAGTCAGAAATGTAGAAATCTACCACATGCCTCTGCCATGTATGGTAGATGCAAAAGTTTAGAGACATTTTACATTTAAAGATAACATTATTCTCTGAAACAAAATAACATCTAACCTCTGCTGATCTCAGTCCCCATGTGAAGCGGCGGTGTGAAGCATTGGCTGGCTTTGAACCCCATCCACGGTACTCATATAGACAAGTAGACGTGTAAACACATCTGGGAACTCTATGGAAGGATGACTCAAGCGGCACGTTACCACAGGTCACCACCTTTCAACAAACGAAATATAAGAACCAGTATCATAAACATAGTAGAAACATAATTTCTATGCAAGTAAGAACACATCAAACTTCTCATGAGCAATGCAGTAGAAAAGAGAATGAAGAAAAACCAGCACATTCTGTGAGCGTTCTTGGAAACTTACCCCAGTGACCTTCACGTATTGACCGTTTTTGGCAGTTCTAAGATCAGCATCAGGATAACCAGCAATGAAATCTGTGACGCCACGTCTTTCACAAGAAAGATTCCAAAAGAAAAGAGCAGCAACAATAGCAAACAAGGCCGCCACAACAATGAGGAGAACTGCATTGTGAACTGCTCCAAGAATGAAGCCTCCAGAAAGGAACCCCATCACAAATATAAGTATAACTAGCCAGAGCACAGGCTTAGGGAAGCTCTTCATGCAGGAGAAGTCATCTTCCGGACCAAGGGTAGTTACCGCCTGGTTGTGAACAACGGAAGGCTTATGATGAGTCTTCATCGAACCAGAATAGTCGAGAGGACCAGAGATCTTCCTAGGACCCCCAGAAGAGTTCAGAGGACCAGAAGTAGTAATCGGCCCAGATGTTATGAGCCCAGTAGTCGGAAGCATAGGTATAGAACCAGAGTTTTGCCGTGTCACACCACCAGACTGCGGACCAGATGTCTTCTTCAAAGGTTCCCCGTGCTTAGACAAAGGACCAGAGTTTGTTTTCTTCATGGAACTCGACCCAGCAGCAGAAGCCAAAGAGCCAGACATACGACCAGTTGCCATAGGCAAAGGACCAGACTGCCCACCACTTCTTGAAGAACCTCCAGTTATCGGACCAGACTTCCTCGACTTGGTCCCATCAGTCGGAATATCAAACATCTTCCCCAACTCTCCAGATTTCTTGATATCACCGCCGGTGTAAGGCGTGGCTACTGAGCTCATCGTTGGTGGCTTTTCTTTGGGTTGCTCTGGCCTTCCAGACACAAATAGCCCATTGCTGAGCTGATGAGAAGCGTATCTCGAACCCATTTTAATATATCTTAAACTGGTCACAAACAATGAGTTTGGAACGTGAGGGTGGTTTCAAAGTCCTGCAGGAAGGAACCCATAAGAAATGAGCAAGATACTTGCAGTTTATATATAGATGTAAAATAATAGACATAACAAGAAAAAGAAGACATGGTCAGTTAGAGAACTTCAACATCCTAATGTCCACAAACGTCACATGCCGGCCCTGAGATTTAAAGGGCTTTAGACAATTTAACATTAAGTTTAATAAAAATTTTGGTTTAATAATCTGGAGACCACATGTTTATGTACACTAAAGCCTAAAAATTTAGGAATCCAAAACCAATGTCTTTATGCAATCATAGTTCTCCTCGTGAGAATCTACTCGACTGACCACCACTTGATCTAGTTTACATGGGCGGTAGACAAAAAAAAATGCAATCATAGTTCCCAAATTGATAACCAGGTCAAATGTAGTGTGACCCTTAGGATTCAAAAGCAGGTTCAATTGCAAATCAATATTAAATTCAAAAATCTGATGGATACATCTAAGAATCACAAAAAGTAATAATAAAGCAAAACCTAAACCCCCAAAATGATTACAGAACTCAATCTGAAAACATGAAGACGGTGTAGATTACTACCTGAGAGAGTGTAAGCTTTTACGAATCGCTACAAAAACTATCAAGGAAGATAGTTGCAGTTGGGGGAGTGACAGTGGAAGACGGAACGTAAGCAACAGTCCAGTAGCTGAGATCCCATATCCGTTTAGCTCCCTCTCCGTTGTGTTGATTCCGATCTCGATTTCTTTCAGCCGTAACAGTTGCTGCGTTCTCTCTCAATCGCTCTCTCTCCCTCTTTCTCTCTCAGAGCTCTTATGGCTTTTTTAGATGAAAGGAAAGGAGAGAGAGAACACACTTTTAGTTTTAATTTGTCGTCTCTCTCTCATAGTTTTGGGAGTTTTGTATAAACTTTCTAAATGTAAAGCTATAAACTGTAATTATTATAAGTCGGAGTTTCTTCTCCTTTTGTTAGCTATAAACTGTATATCTTAGCGACCAAGGTACAAATACACAAAATTTATACATGAGCTACAGAGGTAGCCGAGTTTATTGTATAGTACATGACTAAAAATTGTTGTTTGATTTATATAAGCGCTAATCTAATACATGATGATGCAGATAGATAGAGAAAGCTATTGCATGTCGCCGCTTGTAAGTTGTAACCACGTTTTTACGTGCTGTAAAATGGCTTAAGCATGTTGCAGATATGTTGTATACACACACATTTATATATATCATGTAGTCAAATTTAAGTTACACACATTAAACGAGGACTAATATAATAGTTAGTATATGATATGACGCTAAGTAATGTAAATAAATAAACGGGAAAAAGTAATATTTATCTGTTTGGATGCATTTTTCAATGCATTTCAATATCATCATCACTCTCAACTCTCTCTCTCTCCGTAGTAGTTAACGAGAAAGAAAGAAACAGAGAAGCATAATATATACGGACCAATGGGCCTTACAAAAATCAAGCCCATAAGTAAAATCTGTCACGTGGGCTAATTAAGCACTGAGCCCGAATCCACAAACGTAACATGTGATGACATGTAGAGGATCGCTCCACGATTTCATCAATCAAAGATCAAACTTCTACAACTCTGTAAATATCTACGTGCCTCCCCTTCCCTCTCCTCTTCTCGTGACCACTCTTCACTGGTAAGGATCTCAATCTCCATCTCTCTCTCTCTGATTTGTTCAATTGTTTCAGATTCAAAAATCCGCAAGGCTGATCTCCGATCTCTCTTAGAGGCTTTGACCATTTCTGATCGGATCTCACCATTTTTGCAGGAGGTGAATATTGTTGTCCTGCTCGATTGGATTCGAAATGCCGCCGTTTTACGCAGGAAAGCTAACTACCTTCGAGGACGATGAGAAGGAGAGCGAGTACGGTTACGTTCGTAAGGTATCAATTACTATGCGATGACCTTTGAATCTGTTGATTACGTCTTTGTTAAGCTACTCGTATGCTAGTTTCTGATCTGATCTGTTACTTCTTAGTGGTTTGACTTTTCTCTGTTTAGGATCGTTTTGCTTCGTGATCATATATATAAGTTATTTGCGATGTAGGTTTCAGGTCCCGTTGTGGTTGCTGATGGTATGGCTGGTGCTGCTATGTATGAGTTAGTGCGTGTTGGACATGATAATTTGATTGGAGAGATTATTCGTCTTGAAGGAGATTCCGCAACCATTCAAGGTTTGTTGTTCATTTTCTCTGCTTCTTAGTGTTATCTGTGGAAGACTTGCATATGGATTTTAAATGTTTTGTGTGGTCTTTCTGTAATATCAGTTTACGAGGAAACAGCTGGATTGACTGTTAATGATCCTGTTCTTCGAACTCACAAGGTTTAGTGACTTCTTTATCTTGGATTTTTTTTTTTATTTAGTTCGTCTGTAGCTAATGTATATTCTTTACTGAATGTTTCAGCCTCTTTCTGTGGAGCTTGGACCAGGAATTTTGGGAAATATCTTCGATGGTATTCAGGTGCAGTTGGTTTTTTGAATCTTGAAGTTTAGGACTTCTATGTTTCGTTATATTTACAAACTCCAGAATGTGGCTTCTCACAGTTCTTTGGTTTCTTTTATTTAAATATCACAGAGGCCTTTGAAGACTATTGCGAAAAGATCTGGTGATGTGTACATCCCTCGTGGTGTGTCTGTTCCTGCTCTTGACAAAGATTGTCCTTGGGAGTTCCAGCCAAATGAGTTTGGTAAAGCGTTTGACTTCATATTTCTGTCTGTGGAAGTGTTTATACGGTTTAAGTGCTGTTGCCAACTGAATTTTCCTTGGTTGCAGTCGAGGGAGACACAATAACTGGTGGTGACTTGTATGCTGTAAGTTTATTGGCCTTCCATTTTGTCTAATACTGGAAAGGGAATTTATTTTATATAGTTACTGTGGGATTCCCCTTGTTTGCACTGGAAATAGTTTCTTTCTGATAGTCAAACATAACTTTGGAATACAGACCGTCTTCGAGAACACTCTGATGACCCACCGTGTTGCCCTTCCTCCTGATGCAATGGGGAAGATTACTTACATTGCTCCAGCTGGTCAATATTCCCTTAAGGTTTGAGTTTAGATTTCTCTTAAACGATTTGTATACACCCAAAACTCTTTTTTTTTTCCCTTCAATGTTTGAGTTAATATATGGCTAAATTGATCTATCGGTAATTACTTCCTGTTGGGATAAAAATGACTCTCTGCTCATGGTTATTTAACGGCATTTTTCATATTCCAGGATACAGTGCTAGAGCTTGAATTTCAGGGGGTCAAGAAATCGTACACCATGCTTCAGGTTTGAGCCTATCTTAAATCTAACTACTTACAAGTGCAAATATTTAGCTATTTGGTTCGCTTAATAAAATTGGTTTGGTTTATAAAATGTCAGAGCTGGCCTGTACGTACGCCTAGGCCAGTTGCATCCAAACTTGCTGCCGATACTCCTCTACTTACGGGGCAGGTGATCACTCTATTAGTTTAATACGCTTTTCATAGTCATTCGAAGACTTAGTTTCTGATACCTTTCTTTTCTCTGTTGCCAGCGTGTGCTTGATGCCCTATTCCCCTCGGTTCTTGGTGGAACCTGTGCCATTCCTGGTGCTTTTGGATGTGGTAAAACTGTTATCAGTCAGGCACTTTCTAAGGTAGACTGTGACACTTTTTTTTATTCCACTTAATTACTGGATATATCGGGTTTCCAAAGCTAATTTGTTCTTATCTACTAGTACTCCAACTCCGATGCTGTCGTTTACGTTGGTTGTGGAGAGAGAGGAAATGAAATGGCTGAGGTACCTCTTCTCATTCTGAATATGCATATTGGTCGCATACATCAGAAATTTGGTCTGATTGTTTGTCATAAATTAGGTTCTTATGGACTTCCCACAATTGACTATGACATTGCCTGATGGTCGTGAGGAATCTGTCATGAAACGTACTACACTTGTTGCCAACACCTCTAACATGCCTGTGGCTGCTCGTGAAGCTTCAATTTACACAGGTAATTTCAGGCGTGTAGGTCTAATAGTTTTTGAAGAACCCGTTTCCCATCTTGTAATGACAAACTGCACATACAACCCTCATTTTATCTTTCTGGGCAATGTGAACTCCAGGAATTACTATCGCTGAATATTTCAGAGATATGGGCTACAATGTTAGTATGATGGCAGACTCAACTTCCCGTTGGGCAGAAGCATTGAGAGAAATTTCAGGACGTCTGGTAATCTTTTGCTTCTCACAACTTTTGGGTTTATGGATTTCGTGTTGTCCTGTTACTCGATTTCTCAGTTTCTTGACACATATTGTGCTTATTTTCTAGGCTGAAATGCCTGCCGACAGTGGATATCCTGCCTATCTAGCAGCACGTTTGGCATCCTTCTATGAACGTGCTGGTAAAGTAAAATGTCTCGGTGGACCAGAACGTGATGGAAGTGTCACAATTGTTGGTGCTGTTTCACCTCCTGGTGGAGACTTTTCAGACCCTGTGACTTCTGCAACCCTTAGTATTGTGCAGGTCATTATCTATCTGTATCTGTACTTCCATTGTACATACACATAATTAGATATATACATAATCTAGATGTGCTTAGATTTCGAATATTTTTGCATTTTTTACTATACGGTGAAGTACTCACTCTTCCAGTTTTGTTGCTTTAATGTCTTTCCTGCAGGTCTTTTGGGGTTTGGACAAAAAGCTTGCCCAGAGAAAGCATTTCCCTTCTGTTAATTGGCTGATTTCCTACTCAAAGTATTCAACGGTATGCTTAAATATTCCGCCTTACTCGAGCCGAGCCCGTCTTGGTATACTATCTCGAAGTTCTTGTATATATAAAAACTTGCTTGGTTTTCTCAGGCATTGGAATCTTTCTATGAGAAGTTCGATCCAGATTTCATCAACATCAGGACAAAGGCCAGAGAGGTGTTGCAGAGGGAAGATGATCTTAATGAAATTGTCCAGGTACGTGGAACTTGTCCTTTAAAAACTATCTAATGTTGTGCCTAATGAATTCTAGTCTCTTTGCGATAATCTAGACATCTAAACTTTGACTCAAGTTATCGAAGAAAATCGTTAGTAGCAGATAATTTGTTCTAAAGGAACTTGTTTGATCCGTGCGTTACACTTTGTATGCAGCTTGTGGGAAAAGACGCGCTAGCTGAAGGTGACAAAATCACCTTGGAAACTGCTAAGTTATTGAGGGAAGACTACCTTGCTCAAAACGCTTTCACACCGTAAGATTTGTCTCCCTTCGTTTTGTTTTTAGTTTTCTCTCGACGAGTTATTTACTCATTGATGTTTTTGGATGATTCTTGGACAGATATGACAAGTTCTGCCCTTTCTACAAGTCTGTGTGGATGATGCGTAACATTATCCATTTCTACAACCTAGCCAATCAGGTAACAAGATGGTTTGTTAAGTCTGGTATTTTTTTGGCGAATCGTTTTGTCTAGAAGGCAAGTAAGTGTTCGCAATCTAGATACTAACTTGGTGTCAACAATGTTGGTGGGGTGATAACAACAGGCGGTTGAAAGAGCAGCTGGAATGGACGGTCAAAAGATTACCTACACTCTCATCAAGCATCGCTTGGGAGATCTGTTCTACCGTTTAGTGTAAGCAAACTACATTTTCATTTCTCCATGAATCAATTATTTGTATAGCTCTTAGTGAAATGTGTCTGAAACTGAAGTTGTGAATCTGTGGAAATAACAGGTCTCAGAAGTTCGAAGATCCAGCAGAAGGTGAGGCTGTGCTTGTGGGTAAATTCAAGAAACTGTACGAGGATCTCACTGCTGGATTCCGTGCCTTGGAGGATGAAACTCGTTAAGCTGTCTGAGGAGAGTCTCCACAAAGTATGTCTTGTGTGTTTTGAGCCAAAGAACTATCAAAGTGGTCGGTATTCTATTTATCGGTTTGGTTTGGTTCGATCGATCGAGTTATATCCCTGCGAACGTCATGAATCTCCGGCTGTGCTGTGTAATATGTTTGAGTCGTTGTTTTTTGTTTTGTATGTTTTCATTTTCATTTGATGGTAATAAGGTACAGCCAAAGTGAGTCATCTATATGATATGATGTACCTCTCAATTCAATAAGTTATTATTATTGTCCAAATGTAGTGAAAACCCCTGTTGGAGATGCTTTTAATACCATCATTGTGTTTTTGTTTTGTTTTTGGGTTCACATTTTCCTTGTAACAATATTTTATGGTGTGGTTTAAAGTATCTGTATACTTGTTGATGTTAGTATATGTGTGGAAGACCAAGGCGAGTACCACTAGCTTGTCATGAACATCCTCTTCAAATCTTAGCCTTGAGGAGATAATATTACCAAACTCTTCAGAGAAATGGTAAAATGGTAACGACTGAGCAATTCTTAAAACTTAAAAAGTACCATCACGGGCAGAGATTCGTTCGCCGGAGAAGGACGAATAGAGGAGAGATCCGTCATGATCAGACCGGTGAGGTACGACTGAGTATGATAGAGTTAGTGGTGGTTCTTATTTCTTTATATGGGCCGGATATGCAAATATGATGTGGGCTAGGCCCATATATATTGACAAAGCAAACATTTCAAAAAATTGAAGGGTGTTTTAGATAATTTTAAATAGTTGGAGCTAATATGGATATGGTAAAATGGCAGTGTCTCATTGGATAGGATGTGTCACTTACTCACTATAAGGAGTGAGAAATAATTAGTTTTTTATTACAAAGAAGATTTTTTAACGAAAATTGCACCAAAAAATCAAAAAAATATTCTGAAAGTTCTCTGAAACGTATTAGAGACAAAAGACAAGAGAGGAGGAGGAGAGAGCGAATGCTTCTTCGGTTAGGACAAGCTTTAAGCTAACGGTTCCTCCTGATCATTCCCCGGAAAGCCGCTGTAAGAATTTCTCTTGTCGCTTCAAGGTGTAGATCATGTAGAGTTCTCTTAGTACGGAAGTTAGATCTAACGTGATTTGAAGTGATGGTTTTAATAGTCTCTTCCGTTTTAGATCTTTGGGGTCTCTCTCATTCATGCCATGTTTATTTGTTTATTGCATTTGATTGTAGTTACGTTTTGAGTACATAGGAAAACGACAGAAAAAAACTGTAGCTGAAACGTAGTGTTGCAACGTTATTTTTGAATTTGGGTAGGTGAAGAGAAAGAAAAATCATGAATTTTATACTTTTCTATTTTTCCTCAGGATCTTCAATTAGGAGGTGGAAGCTTCTTGTGATCAAAATCTTGCTCATTACCGACTAAGAAAGTGTTGAAGAAGCTGGAATCAAAGATATAGCTAGACTTGGAGGGTTGGTTCGTGCTAACTTATGAAGTGGTGTTAACATTTTGGAAGAGAATCTTTGTAGTATATAGCACTGATTCTACCCTTAAGTCCGGAGGGAAAGTTTAGCTTGAAAGATGATGATGGATGAAGATGTTGAGCAGGCCAGTTTGTTGTCTTTCAATGACAGGCCTAGGGCTTTTCCCAACATGCGTACTAAAACCTACAGTCCACTGGTTAGTTCTTTTCCTCTTGGTTTTCTTCAGCTCATTAAGATTTGTATTAAAAGTTAAAAATTAACACCTTTTTTTAATGTTATTACTGGCTTCCTTTTATTTCTTTCTTGTTTTGTTTTCTTCTTCTTTTGTATTACAAAAGGTTCGTTTTTTTTGTTGCAGATATTCCGGCTTCTTAGAAAATTGAATGTTCGTGTTCTTTCTATAATTCTGCTAATCTGCTTTGGAGCCATCTTTTACATGGGAGCTAGTACTTCTCCTATCATCTTGTTCGTCTTCACAGTATGCATCATCAGCTTCCTTTTGTCATTGTATCTAACCAAGTGGGTTTTAGCGAAAGATGAAGGACCTCCAGAGATGGTTCAGGTAACGCTCACTCTAATTATATGATCGATGTTGGCTTCTTTTTTTGTTTCCATTTTAGATATAATTCGTGAGGTGATTCTTTTACTTCTAGATATCAGATGCTATACGTGATGGAGCTGAAGGTTTTTTCAGAACGCAGTATAGCACTATATCAAAGATGGCTGTCTTGCTAGCTTTTGTGATTCTTTGCATTTATCTGTTCCGTAGCTTGACTCCCCAGCAAGAGGCTGCTGGTTTAGGAAGGTGAATATGCATGATTACATACACAACATTTGTTTTAATTTGTTATGAATGATACTTTGCTTAGATTACTGTTTGCTGTAGGGCCATGTCTGCTTATATTACTGTTGCCGCATTTCTCTTGGGGGCGTTATGCTCAGGTATTGCTGGATATGTTGGAATGTGGGTGTCAGTTCGTGCTAATGTGCGGGTCTCCAGTGCTGCTAGACGATCTGCCAGAGAAGCATTGCAGGTTCTTTCTTTTTAGTTTAGTTATTTTTTCGTACGACGTGCACATATCTCCAAATACTAAGAAGGAGAGATAATGCAGATAGCCGTTCGTGCTGGGGGGTTTTCAGCCCTGGTTGTTGTTGCTATGGCTGTGATTGGTATCGCCATCCTCTACTCTACGTTTTACGTTTGGTTGGGAGTGGATGATTCTCCAGACTCAATGAGTGTTAATGACTGTAAGTCCTCTCTTCTGCTTTCAATTACATTTTCATCATGTTTGCATACCCTATACATCATTTTACGGAGTTCAAAAGGTTATTTTTTTTATCTTTTCAAAGGATCATTTTGATGAGCAGTATTTTCTTAATCATGTCGTGACTTGGATTAATTGATTGAATCGTTCTGTATCTCTTCCAGTGCCTCTTCTTCTCGTGGGTTATGGTTTTGGTGCTTCGTTTGTCGCCTTATTTGCTCAGTTGGGTGGTGGAATATACACTAAGGGAGCTGATGTTGGGGCAGATCTCGTCGGAAAAGTTGAGCAGGGTATTCCTGAGGACGATCCTCGAAATCCTGCTGTTATTGCTGATTTGGTATTCCATCTTTGTCCTTTTTTGGCTCTTGCACGATTTTCTGTGCATGCTCAGTGTACACTCTATAGTATACCCGCCAAATTCAGAGCCTTATAAGGTTATCTTTTCGCCATTTATGTTTTTAAAACTATTTTTCATCTTCTTGTAGGTTGGAGACAATGTGGGGGACTGCGCTGCCAGAGGTGCTGATTTGTTTGAAAGTATAGCTGCAGAAATTATCAGCGCTATGATACTAGGTGGAACAATGGCCAAGAAGTGCAAAATTGAAGGTGCGTAGGGATCTCTCTTTAAAAAGTTGCTTCTCACATGAAATATATCTGATCTATGGTTTGATTTCCTGACTTATGCTGATCAAAAGGACATTTAACTATCTAAAACTATAATTTGAAATGCAAGCCGTGTTGACGTGAGTGTACATTAAGCTCATAAAATTGCACTTGTTGTCAAAAATAATCTACGCTTTATGGTTGTTTTGGCCACTATATCCGTGATGACGTGAGTGTACATAATTACTTACTAGTATTTGAAAAGCCACACAGAATTTGTTGTTTAGAATATGAATATGTGTAGGCATGATATGAAAATTGCAGGAAGGCTACTTTTCTAGTCAAGTTATAGAATAGAATTACTTGGCCAGTTCTAGTCGTGGTGGTGATTTGCAATTTAAATGATGAAAATCTTTTCTTACTTGAATTTTTATGTATTACGCAGATCCATCAGGCTTTATCCTATTTCCTCTAGTTGTTCATTCTTTTGACTTGGTAATATCATCAATTGGTATATTATCAATCAAGGGAACACGTAATGCTAGCGTTAAATCTCCGGTAGAGGATCCAATGGCTGTACTTCAGAAAGGATATTCTCTGACTATTTTATTGGCGGTTATTACTTTTGGCGCGGTAATATTGTCGACACAGACCATTTACTGTCTTTTTCCTTCTATTTCTTTTGACAATCAGTGCTGATTTCTGTGTATTTTTGCTTTAAACTTCTCATTGATTTTCTTTAATCTTCTGACATTGTTATTTATGTTTTGTAGTCCACTCGCTGGTTGCTTTACACCGAACAAGCTCCATCTGCATGGTTCAGTTTCGCTCTATGTGGGTTGGTAGGCATCATCACAGCCTATGCCTTTGTCTGGATATCCAAATATTACACAGACTATAAGCATGAGCCTGTTAGGACGTTGGCTCTTGCTAGCTCGACTGGTCACGGAACCAATATAATTGCTGGGGTCAGCTTGGGTCTGGAGTCGACAGCTCTTCCTGTCTTGGTTATAAGTGTTGCTATAATATCTGCTTATTGGCTGGGCAATACCTCAGGACTAGTTGATGAAAACGGAGTCCCCACTGGAGGGTTATTCGGAACAGCTGTTGCTACTATGGGAATGCTAAGCACTGCAGCTTATGTTCTTACTATGGACATGTTTGGCCCCATAGCTGATAACGCTGGTGGAATCGTTGAGATGAGCCAGCAGGTAAATGTCACATGATTGGTTCGAAAGGCTTCTCTGTTGTGTATATATATATATATATATACTAATGTTGATGTAAAAAAATGTCTCGTGTAGCCAGAGAGTGTCCGTGAGATCACTGATCTTCTTGATGCTGTTGGGAACACAACAAAAGCAACAACAAAAGGTTTTGCCATTGGATCTGCTGCACTTGCGTCGTTCCTTCTTTTTAGTGCGTACATGGACGAGGTTTCAGCGTTTGCTAGTGTGTCTTTCAAAGAGGTAAGTGTCATTACAAACCTTTGCTGTATCCTCCATGTTCAGACAGCTTCTCATACTCATTATCGGATTAAAAAACAGGTTGATATTGCAATCCCAGAAGTCTTCGTAGGTGGACTATTGGGTTCCATGCTTATATTCCTCTTTAGTGCTTGGGCATGCGCAGCCGTTGGTCGAACTGCACAAGAGGTTGTTAATGAAGTAAGAAGACAGTTTATTGAGAGGCCTGGCATAATGGTGAGAGCGCTAAGTTTTCCTTTGTACTTCTATGTTTATTGGCTTGTCGTTGTTGACTAACTTCCTGTAACAGGAGTACAAGGAGAAGCCAGATTATAGTCGCTGTGTTGCCATCGTCGCATCTGCAGCTTTGAGGGAAATGATTAAGCCAGGAGCTTTAGCTATAGCATCACCCATTGTAGTTGGTAAGTTAATAATGCTTTTGTCTTATTGTACTGAATCAATAAGGTTGTGACAAAAACTAAACCTCTTGGGCTCTCTCTCAGGTTTGGTGTTCCGGATCTTGGGATACTACACAGGACAACCTCTGCTTGGAGCTAAAGTTGTAGCTTCGATGCTCATGTTTGCAACAGTGTGTGGTATCTTAATGGCACTTTTCCTAAACACAGCGGGTGGTGCTTGGGACAATGCAAAGAAATACATAGAGACTGGTGCACTCGGTGGTAAAGGAAGTGAAGCTCACAAAGCAGCGGTGACTGGTGATACGTAAGCATTTCGTTTTTCTTCAAAAGGAAAAGTCTCAATCAAAGTTCTATTGCTCAACGTAATTTTTCTCACTAATATTCATTTGAAAATTGCAGTGTGGGAGATCCGTTCAAGGACACAGCTGGTCCTTCTATTCACGTGCTCATAAAGATGCTCGCGACTATAACTCTTGTCATGGCTCCTGTTTTCCTCTGAAAGACCGTCTCTTGCACATACATAGAGGTAGAAAGAGAGAGGTTGGTTATGATTATGAATGAGTCACATGGATTAATGGTTTTGTGTTCGTTTCATCTGAATAAATGAGTTGTAAGCAATTTTAGAGACATTTAATCAGCCACAATTTGACTTTTGGAGATTTTGGTAACTCTCATTCTACTAGATTTCACATTTCTATGCAATTCTCTCTTTAACAACGTGATTTTTAAATTGAGAAATTCTTGGATTTCAGTTTTCCAAAAAATGCTATATTCTGAAGTCTGACTCTTTATTGTTGATAAAAAATTTACCTAATCACATTATAAATTTATATTAATAGATGTTAAAATTATTTTCATGGTATAAAGTCATTAGTTCTAATTTTCAACTATTAATTAATTTAATTATTATATACCACTTAATCATTGGACTAACCATTATAAAAGACTCTATTTTCTAAAGATATGAGAACACCTAAAGGTCTTAAATATCTTTAATCTTCATACTTATGTCATTGAGTGATGCAACTATGCATTAAAACTAAAATACTATATTTTCTATTTTTTTTTTCCAAATATGTGGGTTCAATCTCTACAAAAAGATCGAGTTTCTAAAAATGCTATATTCTGAATTTTAGGCGCTTTATAGTTAATGAAAATTTACCTAATCACATTTTTAATTTATATTAATGTATGTTAAAATTACTTTCATGGTATATGGTCTTATGTTCTAATTTTACAACTATTAATTTATTTAAACTTTATATACCACCTAATCAGTGCACTAAACCCTTATAAAAATTCAGTTTTTTGGAGACATGAGAACATCTAAGGTTTTAAACCTCTTTAATCTTCATATTATATCATTGCATGACACAGCTATGCATTAAAACAAAAAACCATAATTTCTTGAAATACGTGGGTTAACACCTACGAAAAGATCGAGTTTTTCGAAAAATATTATATTCTGGAGTTTAAGCTCTTTATCATTGATCAACATAATCACATTATAAATTTATATTAATGTATATTAACATTATTTGTATGGTACATGAACATCGTTTCTAATATTTTAGTGAATAATTTAATAAAATTTCATATTCACCTAATTTAACCCCTATAAATTCTATATTTTTTTTAGAGAAACAGAGACAATTAAGGTTTCATACCTCTTTAATTTTCATCATATTTCAGAGGATAACAAAATTATGAATTAAAACAAAATACTCTATTTTCTAATTTAATTACAAATAGATCAAGTTTTTTTTCCAATATATGTATATATATATATAAGAGTTCAGCCTCTTTATTGTTATTTTAAAAATATCTAACGGCAGTCTAAATATATATTAATAAATACTAAACATATTTTCATGGTATATAGTAGGGCTGGGCAATCGGGGTCCCAATCGGGTTTCGGTTCGGGTTCATTCGGGGTTCGGGTTTTCGGGTTCATGAATTTCTGCCCCATTCGAATATTATAAAAATTCGGGTCGGATTCGGTTCGGGTTTAGTCGGATTCGGTTCGGGTTTAGTAACATGTCCAAGATCCGGTTGAACCCGAAATAGTTTCGGTTTCGGATACTAATCGGGTTATTGGTTCTAAAAATACTAATTTATACTCAATTAAACTCACTATATTTTCAATCATTTTATTAAATTTGTGTATTTAGCTTCTACAAACCATATTGTTCTCCTTCAAAATAATATTGTGAAACTCATCTATCAACCATATAAGATTTGTCAATGAACTATATGTGACAACACTAAACATATCATGATTAATGACAAACCAAANTCAATCATTTTATTAAATTTGTGTATTTAGCTTCTACAAACCATATTGTTCTCCTTCAAAATAATATTGTGAAACTCATCTATCAACCATATAAGATTTGTCAATGAACTATATGTGACAACACTAAACATATCATGATTAATGACAAACCAAAGCCTTGTATGAACGAAATATAATACATAATGAAACATAAAAAAATTAAAGTTGACAACTAACAATTCTATAAACATAAGAAGTGCTATTTAAACTTTTAAAAACAACATTATATAAACTTCAAAACAAATTTATTCGTAACTTTAATTTTTCCAATAACACAAAAATTACCATATATTCTTATTTAACTTACGAAAAGATAAAGTATTTTTCAATAGATGATATATATATATATATATATATATTAGATTTTAGATTCTTTAGTGTTTTTTAAAAAAACATATAACCACACTCTAAATTTATATTAATGTATACTGAACATATTATCATGGTACATGCCTATAATTTTCAATTTTCTAACGAGAAATTTAATTAAACTTCATATACGTCTTAGTTAGTGGACTAACCTCTATAAATTTCTCTTTGCTTGATAAGGGGAAACATTTAAGGTTTCAAACCTTTTTCATCTTCATACTATGTCAGTGTATAATGCAACTATGCATTAAAACTAGTAAAATTCATATCTTTCAATTAATATTAAAAAGGAAAAATCAAAAAAAAATTTAAAATTTATCTTGAATTGTGTGGGTTAACCCCTACGAAAAGATCTTATTTTTCGATAAATTCTATATACTTAAGTTTAAGTTTTTTACCACACTCTAAATTTTCATTAATGTATACTGAACATATTATCATGGTACATGTCTATAATTTTTAATTTTCTAACAAGTAATTTAATTAAACTTCATATACCACTTAGTTAGTGGACTAACCTCTATCAAATTTCTCTTTTCTTGATAAAGGGAAATATTTAAGGTCTCAAACCTTTTTCATCTTCATACTATGTCAGTGTATAATGCAACTATGCATTAAAACAAAAATAAAAAAAAATTAAAAATTATCTTGAATTGTGTGGGTTAACCCGTACGAAAAGATCTAGTTTTTCGATAAATTCTATATACTTAAGTTTGAGTTTTTTACCACACTCTAACTTTTCATTAATGTATACTGAACATATTATCATGGTACATGTCTATAATTTTTAATCTTCTAACGAGTAATTTAATTAAACTTCACATACCACTTAGTTAGTGGACTAACCTCTATCAAATTTCTCTTTTCTTGATATAGGGAAACATTTAAGGTCTCAAAACCTTTTCATCTGCATACTATGTCAGTGTATAATTCAAATATGCATTAAAACAAAAATCAAAAATATTTAAAATTTATCTTGAATTGTGTGGGTTAACCCCTACGAAAAGATCTAGTTTTCGATAAATTCTATATACTTATGTTTAAGTTATTTATTGTTGATAAAAAATACCTAATAAAATTATAAATCTATATTAATGTATGTTAAAAGTATTTATGATACATGGAGGCCGTTTCTAATATTTTAATGATTAATTTATTAAAACTTCATATTCCTCTCAATCCAGTTGATTATCCCCAATAAAATTTGTATTTTTATAAAAAAAGAAACGGATCAATCAAGGTCTCAAAATTCTTTGTTCTTCATCATATGTCAATGCATGATTAATTTTTCCAATAACACAAAAATTGTCATATTTTCTTATTTAACTTACGAAAAGATAAAGTATTTTTCAATAGATGATATATATATATATATATATATATATATTAGATTTTAGATTCTTTAGTGTTTTTTAAAAAAACATATAACCACACTCTAAATTTATATTAATGTATACTGAACATATTATCATGGTACATGTCTATAATTTTTAATTTAATAACCAGTAATTTAATTAAACTTCATATACCACTTAGGTAGTGGACTAACCTCTATCAAATTTTTCTTTTCTTGATAAAGGGAAACATTTAGGTTCTCAAACCTTTTTCATCTTTATACTATGTCAGTGTATAATGCAACTATGCATTAAAACAAAAATTAAAAAAATTTAAAATTTATCTTGAATTGTGTGGGTTAACCCCTACGAAAAGATCTAGTTTTTCGATAAATTCTATATACTTAAGTTTAAGTTTTTTATTGTTGAAAAAAATACCTGATAAAATTATAAATCTATATTAATGTATGTTAAAAGTATTTATGAAACATGGAGGTCGTTTCTAATATTTTAATGATTAATTTATTAAAACTTCATATTCCACTTAATCCAATGGATTATCCCCAATAAAATTTGTATTTTTATAAAAAAAAGAAACGGGATCAATCAAGGTCTCAAAATTATTATTCTTCATCATATGTCAATGCTTGATTATTTTTTCCAATAACACAAAAATTACTATATTTTCTTATTTAACTTACGAAAAGATAAAGTATTTTTCAATAGATGATATATATATATTAGATTTTAGATTCTTTAGAGTTTTTTAAAAACATATATAACCACACTATAAATTTATATTAATGTATACTGAACATATTATCATGGTACATGTCTATAATTTTCAATTTTCTAACGAGTAATTTAATTAAATTTCATATACCACTTAGTTAGTGGACTAACCTCTATCAAATTTCTCTTTTCTTGATAAGGGGAAACATTTAAGGTTTCAAACCTTTTTCATCTTGATACTATATTAGTGTATAATGCAACTATGCATTAAAACTAAAGTCAAAAAAATTTAAAATTTATCTTGAATTGTGTGGGTTAACCCCTAAGAAAAGATCTAATTTTTCGATAAATTCTATATACATAATTTTAAGTTTTTTTACCACACTCTAAATTTTCATTAATGTATACTGAACATATTATCATGGTACATGTCTATAATTTTTAATTTTCTAACAAGTAATTTAATTAAACTTCATATACCACTTAGTTAGTGGACTAACCTCTATCAAATTTCTCTTTTCTTGATAAAGGGAAACATTTAAGGTCTCAAACCTTTTCCATCTTCATACTATGTCAGTGTATAATGCAACTATGCATTAAAACAAAAATAAAAAATATTTAAAATTTATCTTGAATTGTGTGGGTTAACCCTTACGAAAAGATCTAGTTTTCGATAAATTCTATATACTTATGTTTAAGTTATTTATTGTACCTAATAAAATTATAAAT